TCTTTTGTCTGTGAGTCTCCTGTCTGTGGGTCTTCTGTCCTTGGGTCTTCTGTCTGTGGGTCTTCTGCGTCGACACGGTTGCAATTTGCCAATCCTTATATTAGTTTAGTGACAGCTGTTTAAAAAAATAATTAAATACTAATTCTATAACTATTATTTTATTAATTAATGTCACAAATTGTGAAGCAAAAATTAACAAGAATTTTTGTAAATTAACGTATTTTTAGGAAAAATATCCAAAATAGGTAAATTCCAAACCCATAATAACTTAAAATAGAAAACAAAATAAAGTTATAATAAATCACCCTAAACAAAAATTATTCAAAAAATAACAAAGGATTTGATCTTCACACGTCATCGGGAATCAATATAGGTTCTACCTTGAACTTGAACTACAATTTATCTACTACACAATTACAATATCAACTACAATACAATATACTACAATATATATACAGAACATCCAATATTAAATAACAAATACATATCACAACAATTCCTATATATTTATCCAACTATTCAGAATCCTTTCCTTCTATTTGCTTTTGCTGACGAATAGACAGATGAGGAGAGCGGTGAACATTAGAAGCCTAAAAATTAAAAAGGAATATTTTCTGGCCAAAAATCCTTCTTAAATCCTTACAATATTATAGAGCCAACAATAACGAGAGTAATTTGCAAAGTTTTCTTTGAATCCTTTTTAGTCCCTTCGTTGTAGCAATCATTTGTAGGTGAAGGCAAACTACTTCCATTTTGAGGCTTTATTTTGACTTTTTCGGTTGAATTTCCATGTTGTAGGATATTGGTAGCAACACTCGGACAGTCAACTTCCGGACAGTCAATTTCTGGACATTCAATACCACAAGGCTGACATTCAGGAATTGTGGGACAGCTAGCAACAGTTTGACAACTAACAACATCCGGGCATTCAACAACAGGTGGACAGGTAGCCATTGTTGTCGTTTCTTCTGTAGTCGTTTGTTTGACAGAATTATCAGGAACGAGCATTTTGTAAAGGACACGAGGCTAAATAAATGAGATATTATATTTTTATTTCTGCCTACTTTTTAACTACGGATTTATAATGAGCGAACAACTTAATCCTCAGTCACAAAAATGAGTTAAAAAGTAGGGAAAGATAGGAATTAACAAAAAATTCCAAACTTACAAAATTCACAAACATTTTGTCACACTGTTGGAATGCCGCATTTTCATTACAATTCTCCTTATCCGCATCCTTATCACATTTAATCCAAATATTCTGCATGCTCATTTGCATAGAACTTGTTGGAAGAATGTGGAAAGTGAAGAGATGATTGTATAATGTATCGGTATAGTCCTCATCCGTAATTTTCCATTTTTCTGGTTTACGAACATTTTCTTGTTTGAAGCAAAAATATGCTTTCGGGGATGATTCTTCACGAGATCTAAAACCCATTCCATCAAAGTAATAATGAATGTCTGTCTGATGCTTATTATGCTCCGTTATTTGAAGAATTGACGAATAATCAGTTTCACCAACTAAAAAGTAAATATTTACTCGACAAAGACGACTGTCAAGCGTTGAGCATCGAGTTGCCGCCTACACACACTGAAAAAAATTTATGGAGCAAAACGCTTGACACTAAGTTTGTCGGATCCGGATCCAAAAAAACCGGATATCCGAGTTTCCAATTTATACCAAAGAAAAATAAAATTCCTCACTTGGATGGATTATGCTTCGGATATACTTTAAAGTCCTAGCCCATCCCACAGTATAATCAGCAACATCCAAGCATTTGCCTCCTTTATTATGACATTTGGACAAATCCCCACAATAATTTTTGTGTCTTTCCGGATATCCTCTTTTGACTCCATCAAATTCTCCTTTCGTCAGACTGAAAGAGAAGGACAACCTAAAAATTAAAATTTTTAGTCAAATTTTTCAATAAAACTAACAAATTTGAAGCAATAGCTGAGTAATTGAAGGGTAATACTTTATCCGAAAATGTGATATCCATCAAACAGTTGCTCAGTTCTTTGTTGTGTTGAATACCAAAAAACATATGCAAATTATATTTATTTTCTAAAATGGTAGGATCCGGAACAGCAAAATCAATCGAGCAGCCTTCCTTTGTTGTTTTGGAATGTTTGAGGTACCAGATAGTTCTGTTAAATGAGGAAATTGTTTTTAGACTTTATCTGTTCACTTACATATTTCCGTCCTTATCCTCATCCATCTCAACATCACATGAGCCCTCTTTACTTCTGTAAAGTTCAAGATCCTCAGGTTTCTCAGCTATCTTTGTGTTTCCCCTCAGCTTTACAATCTTCCCGTTGACCAGCTCATGCCTGCCATGCCCAACCACGTCACAATAGACAATGGATACAACCAGCAACAAGATAGCCACGAACCGCAAGAAGAAAAAAACAGAAGCCATCCCAGGAGCTTTCGAAGAAAAATGAAGATAGAATACATAAGTGTTAATTAGTTTATCTGCTTTTTATACTAAGTATCTAAATACCGTAAAACTCTAATAGAACCACTTTTATTTTTCAATCCTCCCATATGTGTGCTGATGGAATGAGCAGAGCTATTCAATAAACATGGGAATAGAGCAGGGCTCTCATTCGTACTTATTTTAGGTCCTATTCTGGGCCCTATTCTAATTGTCCGCAGATGTCACTGTCCACAGAATTTCTATTTCAATTATTTTTCTGCGGCGTGTATTTTTCTTTCTAAATTCAAATTTTTTATTAACGCATTTTTCAAAATAACAGTTTTATTGAAACGAAAAAGTGTTTGGACGGTTCGGTACTACCGTAGTATTACTGGTAACTGATTTTTTGAAGAAAAACTTTTAAAAAATTTAAATTAAACTAAATAATATTGTAAAAATTTAAAAATTTTCCGTACAACTCACATGACATCCCTTTAAATATTCTTGATATCACTTTAAATCCGCTGATATACCGCTTAATATTCTTGATCATCCAATTTCCTTAAAATCCCCGACCTTCTAATAAACCGATCCCCTAGAGGATGGTTGAAAAATAAACCGACCGGTCGCACTATTAGAAGAAATACGGTATGCGAATAGAGCAAGGCTCTCATTCGTAATTATTTTGGAAGTATTGTACTTTTAAACATCAAATTGAAAATGTACTTAGTTATAAGTATATACTTTCAAATAGAGTCCGGCTCAATAGCATATTTTTTCGATATTTTTTGATATTTTTTGATATTCGGTATTTTTCGATATTTAACGAAAAAATATTGACCAAGCCCTCCGTCCGGGCTCTACTTTCAAATGGACTTTTTATTTGAAGAAAAAAATTTACCTTAAAAATTTCGGGAATATTTAACCAAAAACTTTCTGTAATTCTGAGAAAATGTAAATTTTAAGGATGATTCAACTAACAGCATTTAAAACGCTTTAGAGGAGTTTAAACGACTACTAAAAGAGAGAAAGCATTAGTCGACGACCCTTTAGCTTAATGTTAGCCCTCCTAAATGTTAGCCACTGCCTAATTACCATATATCTAAAAAATCTTCGACATATTTTCTCCTTGTTTCGGTTAACCGAAGAATTTCGTGAAACAGACAACCCTAATGTTGAGCAAAATCGCCTAGCAGTAACTACGAATCAAATCATCAAATCATGCCAGTTGGCTATACTTTTGCCAAGCTCTTACTAAATCTGGCTTACTTGCCTAACAAAAAAAAGTCATCTGGGAGAGAAATATAAGAGACCTACTAAGTGAGAAAGATTTTTTAAATTGTATTTTTGTAAGCGGATGGTAAAAAGCCGAATTATGTGGAAGGCGGAGGTTGTCCAAACAAAAAAGGCTGAATCGAGCTTTTGCATTTTTACATTGACTAAATGTCTATTAAGATCTCCTTAAATTGAGTCATTTTAAAGAGAACTTTTAATCAGGGAGAATTAAAGAGAAATTTTAAATCAGGTACGTTTTAAGTTACATATTTGAGAGGGTTGTTAAAAACTACAATTTATCTACTATACAACTACAATAATAATACAATATATATACAGAACATCCAATATTAAATAACAAATATCACAACAATTCCTATATATTTATCCAACAATTCAGAATCCCTTCCCTTTATTTGCTTTTGCTGACGAATAGACAGATGAGGAGAGCGGTGAACATTAGAAGCCTAAAAATTAAAAGTAATATTTTTCAGTCCAAAAATCCTTTCAAAATCCTTACAATATTATAGAGCCAACAATAACGAGAGTGATCACCAAAGTTTTCTTTGCATCCTTTTTAGTCCCCTCGTTGTAGCAATCATTTGCAGGTGAAGGCAAACTACTTCCATTTTGAGGCCTTTCGACTTTTTCGGTTGAATTTCCAGGTTGTATGGCATTGATAGGAAAGCCAGCAGTCGGACAGTCAGTACCACAAGGCGGACATTCAACAACAGGTGGACAGGTAGCCATCGTTGTCGTTTCTTCTGTAGTCGTTTGTTTGACTGAATTATCAGGAACGAGCATTTTGTAGATGAAATTGTACTTAATTAAGAGTTTAAGAAACTGATTTAACAAAGAATTCCCAACTTACAAATTTCACAAACATTTTGTCACACTGTTGGAATGCCGCATTTTCGTTACAATTTTCCTTATTCGCATCCTTATCACATTCAATCCAAATACTTTGCATGCTCATTTGCATAGAAGTTGTTGGAAGAATGTGGAAAGTGAAGAGATGATTGTAGATTCTATCGGTATGGTCCCTATCCATAATTCTCCATCTTTTTGGGTTGCGAACATTTTCTTGTTTGAAGCAAGAGTAGATTGGCGTGGTTCTACCGCAACCTCTAAATTCCTTATCATAAGCATGAACACCTGCTGCCTCATGTTTGTTACTCATATCTTCTCTAATATCACAATACCCATAATTAGTCTCGCCAACTAAAAATAAATAAATTTAAATTGGGTAACTTAATTATAGAGAGTCAATATTTTTAGTCATATCTCGAGTACTGTAGAAAGAAATTAAAATTCCTCACTTGGATGATGAGTACTTTTGACCTTATCTCCATCTCGAGACCATCCAATAGTATAATCAGCAACATCCAAGCATCTGCCTCCTTTTTTATGACATTCGGACAGGTCCCCACAATAATTTTTGTGTCTTTCCGGATATCCTCTTTTGATTCCTTCAAATTCACCATTCTTCAGACCGAAAGCGATGGCCAACCTAAAAATTAATTTTTTAGCGTGTTTTTTTTTTTATAAAAAACGAACGAATTAGAAGTCATAGCCGATTGATTGAGGGATAACCATTTAGTAGAAGACATATCCGCCAAGCAATCGGTCAGTCCCTTATCGTGTTGGATGCCAAACTCAATGAAGAACATGTCACTGCCTCTTAAATCTGCCATGACAAAATCAATCGAGCATCCTTCCTTTGCTGTGATGGAATTTTTAAGGTACCAAATTGTTCTGTTAAATGAAAGTATTTTCGATTAACGTTATCTGTTCACTTACATATTTCCGTCCTTATCCATCTCAACATCACAAGAACCCGGCATCATTTTGTAATATCCAAGATCCTCAGGTTTCTCGGCCATCTTTGTGTTTCCAAACAGCTTCACAAGATTCCCATTTTCGATCTTATGCTTGCCATGCCCAACCCACGCGACCCAATCACAATAGACAATGGATACAACCAGCAAGAAGATAGCCACAAACCGCACGAAGAAAGCGACAGAAGCCATTCCAGGAGCTTTCGAGAAAATTGAAGATACGTAGATTACAGGTGTGTTATATTATCAGGTTTATTTGCCTTTTATAGTAATCACTTAAGCTGTCCACGACCGAAAATTTTCCGAGACTCGAGACTAAAATTAGACTTCAAGAGCAAAACTTGACACCAAGTCCAACAATTAACAAGTCTCAAAACAACATTTAGTTCCATAGGCATCGAACTTACACACTCCTAGTAGCGAAGCTAGGCGCTCTCGCTCACTACGTATGGGTTTTCTACGGACTGAGCTACAGGGCGATGCTTTTAACTTATCATTTAATAAAAGATCCTGAATCCAAGATTAGTAAGCTGAATCTTTTTTCGTTCCTACAATATTAAAAATTTTTTTTTCATAATTTTATTCCATTTATGAATAGTGGCGGCAATTTGTTTAGAAACTAGTTTTTTGAAATTTTAAAAGCTTATAAATTGGAGAAAATAGTCTTTAATTTACATTTTTTTGATTAAAAAGGAGAAAGAAAAGAAAATATTTTCAACAAATTACTTAAAACGGCAAAAAGTAGCTTTGGAATTAATTGATACTGTTTTGGAGTCCGCAAATTCTTTATAAAGAATCTGAATTTTCTTCAAATTAAAAAGTTTTAGAGCGGTACAGACTACAAACTTTTAATGATGGGCGAAAATGATAATGTTGTTGCTGATAACAAAGTTGAACAAGAAGAATACGAATCAGATGGCTCACTCATAATTATTTTTGTGGCTGTTGAGTACATAGGGGGGGGGGGGGTTGGGTGTTTTTTTTTGGGTATTTTTGAGATTTAAAAAGATTAAAATTAAATTTTGAATCATGCTGAAGACTGGGAGCGTCGTTACTCACGGATTATTTCTTTGCGGATTATCCAATAATCCCAAAAGTCGTCAATTAGTTAAAAATTAATTTGCAGATCAAATACGGTTCTTTCTATGAGCCTAATTTATAATTCAGCACAAAATAATTAAGGGAGTCATGCAGAACTCCCCGTCCCAAAAATTATGCATTTGAGGAGCACAAGATCTAAATAAATACTTTTGCTAAAAATATTAAATTGAATAAAAATATAATTTTATATATTAAGCATTTTCCCTGGTAAAAATGTTTTTTTCAGACCTGCTCACGGATACTGATTTTGGCATCCGTATCCGGATATTTTTGCGGATACAGGCGGATATCCGCAGGCATATGACATTATCTGTATCCGTATCCATGAGCAGTCTGGTTTTTTTGCAGAAATTTTTTTAAATTTTATTCACTTAAAATGTCCGCATAAATGACGCTTCCTCCCTAATTTATTTTTACAAAATTTTATACTAGGCTTGTTCAATTATCGGCCTTCTTGTTTGTACCTCTATTAATGATAATAATGGCGATGTTGGCGAAAATAAGAGAACAATTTTATTTAAAATATTTATATCAAAGAAGCAACAACAAAACAACCAAAACATCCAAAAAAACTGCGTTTTTCTTCATACTATTTTGGTGGCAAAACAACAAAAACAAAATACAAAAACACAGTAGACAAAACACAAATAGAAAATAGACAAATACATAAATATGTGGAACACTCTCTAAAAATACTGGAGCTTCAAAATTTGGGAAAGAAAATACAAAAAGTAAAGGAAAGTAGCTAAAGGTGTTAAATTATAATTCAGATAATACTATGCCTAAGATACTACACCTTTTATTTAATAAATATTAGTAGAGAGAGAAACTTTGTGATAATCATTGACAATATTTAATAATAAAAAAATTAAAACAAAAAATCATTCTCAAAATGTAATCCCTTATTATCCACTATCTTCTGTTTGTTTTGATATTTCGTAAAATAGGTATTAATATTTATTTTTTAAATAGAGGAAGGATTCGATATCACAGCGATATTGACAGATTCTCCCACCTCCCCGAAAATTTCACTGCTTTTATAACCGTCCGCTTATACGTTTATCACGTTTTTTTCCCGCTTTACTTTTACTTATTCTTTTTAATTTTTTCCACTTCTTTATTTCTTGTTAAAAATAATGTTTACATGAAATAAAAAATATATAATTTTATATATTAAGCATTTCTTCTTATAAAAATCTTTTTTTTTTTTGCAGAAAAAATTTTTTTAAGTTTTATTCGCAAATAAAATTTAAACAAAACTTTATTTACTTTAATAGACGGACATTGTTTTAAATTTTTTAAATATTTTTGGTTAATTTTTGTTTTTTCTTTTTTTATTCTCGAGTTTACAGCAAGCTAGAACAATTACATATAGTATATTTTTTGAACAATCCTTTCAAAGCAAAAAACGGGGGAGAATTGTTTTCAAGATCTGTCATCAAGTTATATTTTTTACGATTCGCTTGCTTGCCCTACTTTTTTAATTTAAAATTTATTTTGGCATTCCTTGAGCTTTGTTTAAATGAATATATTTTTCATATTCTCTTGTCAATATTTTTTTATGTTTGTAGAATTATGTATTCAGTTGATCTTTGTTAAAATTTCGCAGTTCTCTTCTTTATGTGCCTAAAGTCTGCAAATTTTATCCGCAAAATAAGAGAGAAATGAAAGAAAAAATCCCGAAATCTTTCAGAAAAATTTTGTGAATCAAAAATTCCCGAAACAAAATAGGTATGTCGGAAAGTCTTGATTTTCGACGATCGGAAGGCACTTTCCTAATACTTGATATCTTCTTAAATGTATCAATTTTTGCGGATTTTTGAATTATTAATTGCATTTTTCAACAAAACTTCACTAGACCTAGACTTACCCTAACAATTAATTATATCTTCCTATAGGATGAAAGTTATAACGGAATCCAAATATATTTAAATAATCAAAAAACAAATAATTGGGAAGACGACGCTCTACAATGAATAACAAATAACTAATAAAAACAAAAATTATTTCCTCTAAAAATTAAAAATAAATAAGAAAAGCTTCAAAAATTTGTTCAGAAAAAGAAAAATTAAAACCAAAACGATCTTCTCGAATGAGTTTGGGTTATTTATTTTGATATTTATATAAGAAAGTTGAGAGAGAGAGAAAGAGATTTGTTTTGAAAAAAGAGCATTCTGTTATCAAGAATATCCAAAACTTATCGAGATATTATAGGTAAACTTCATCTTTAGAAGCTTCAAAATTAGATACACCTATTTATGAACATTTTTTTAATATGGTCACTAGGTGGGTGGAGGAGAGTGTCTAGGCGATACCCCTTTATTTAAGGTATGACATTATAATCTTTTTAGCCCCGAGGGGATACCTGATATGTACATTGTAAGGTCTGATGCAAACAGATTTCGAATTCCAATTGTTACTCGACTTTTGAGGACTTGAATTTGTTATTAACATTTTGCCTTCTTTGATTTTCAATGGAACTAATGGAGACAAACTAGGACGAATAAACGTTCCAGGACCAATTATTGTTCGGTTTCAAATCAAGACAGAAAAGGGAAGGTTTTCTCATGGAGGAACGAAAGCCAACATTAATTTTAAATAGAGTCGACATAAACTCTATGATAAATTGACTAAGATAATGTGAATAGTCGGATATCACTATAAAATATTTGTAGTAAATATTAGCCATCCTACATTATTTGATACGATTTTCCAGCTCTAATCGGATATTCGAGGTACAAAATACATATATTAAAAACATCCCCTACTACATCAATAAATTAATCCAATATTCTTTCCTTGTCTTCATACAAATAATTAGTTTGATTTTCAGTGTTTTCCCCATTTTAACATTCAATATCTAACCAAACTTTGCCAACTTTTAAATTAATAAAATTTAATTTGTTAAGAACTGAAGCCATTGTTTTCTAAAAATAATGGAAAATATGTATAAAAATATTTTCAAAGTTTTTTAGGGGGTTACCAAAAAACTGACAAACGGGATTACCAGAAAATTGAAAATCAATTTCCGTTACGGGATCATAGTATTGTGATTTTCTTCATTCTAGATTCTAGATTATGAGAGTCCACAGATTAAAGAAATATTTTTAAAAATTAAAAGAGGCTGCTTAAAATTAAAATATTCTTCTTGTTTTAATTTTACCTAGCATTCCCACGAGTAGAATTTTTATTTTGATTTAATTTGGGTTTAACACTAAGATAAATATGCACATCTTCAAGTTGAATAATTGAAAAAGTCAGTCTAGACATCTTTTCTGGCGCCAAATGGCTCGAATAAAAGCACATCTTCAAGTTGAATAATTGAAAATGTCAGTCTAGACATCTTTTCTGGCGCCAAATGGCTCGAATAAAAGCACATCTTCAAGTTGAATAATTGAAAAAGTCAGTCTAGACATCTTTTCTGGCGCCAAATGGCTCGAATAAAAGCACATCTTCAAGTTGAATAATTGAAAATGTCAGTCTAGACATCTTTTCTGGCGCCAAATGGCTCGAATAAAAGCACATCTTCAAGTTGAATAATTGAAAATGTCAGTCTAGACATCTTTTCTGGCGCCAAATGGCTCGAATAAAAGCACATCTTCAAGTTGAATAATTGAAAAAGTCAGTCTAGACATCTTTTCTGGCGCCAAATGGCTCGAATAAAAGCACATCTTCAAGTTGAATAATTGAAAAAGTCAGTCTAGACATCATTTCTGGCGCCAAATGGCTCGAATAAAAGCACATCTTCAAGTTGAATAATTGAAAAAGTCAGTCTAGACATCATTTCTGGCGCCAAATGGCTCGAATAAAAGCACATCTTCAAGTTGAATAATTGAAAATGTCAGTCTAGACATCATTTCTGGCGCCAAATGGCTCGAATAAAAGCACATCTTCAAGTTGAATAATTGAAAATGTCAGTCTAGACATCTTTTCTGGCGCCAAATGGCTCGAATAAAAGCACATCTTCAAGTTGAATAATTGAAAATGTCAGTCTAGACATCTTTTCTGGCGCCAAATGGCTCGAATAAAAGCACATCTTCAAGTTGAATAATTGAAAATGTCAGTCTAGACATCATTTCTGGCGCCAAATG